TATTAATTTGTGTGCTAGATTTTAATTTGATTCAAAAGGATCACATTCGACAGCAGTTAAAAGAATTTTAAGATATCTTTTGAGAACTTAAAACTTAGGAATTTGGTATCCTAAGTACAACACTTCATTTGAAATTGTCAAATATTCTGATTCAGACTTTGTAGGTAGTAGGGTTGATCAAAAGAGTATATCTGAAACTTATCAATTCATAGGAAATTCATTAGTTACTTAGTCCAGTAGGAAATAAAATTTTGTAGCCTTATCTACTACCAAAACTACCAAAACAAAATATATTTCCTTAGGAAGTTTTGTGGCACAAGTTCTTTGGTTGAAATAACAGTTAATTAATTTAGGATTTATAATTGGCACAAAAAATTTTGTAGCCTTATTTGTTTTGTGAGTTTTTGGTTTGGATATTTATCACTTATCAAATGATGATGACTTTTGAGAATTTTTTGATTTTCATGTTTTATATTCTAAGTGTTTATTCGTATTGTATGAAATTTTTTCATACTCTATGAATTCTGTAGCATGCCATATTTATTTTTGGAGTTGAACATGAAAAATTTAGATTTTTCATATACTTTGTATTATACGATGACATCATCGTATTGTATGCATGTGGATGATTATTCGGCCAGAGTCGATTATTCTAACTGATCGTATGTTTGAAATCGTCTTTCGCCTGTATGATCCGGGTGTCAGTTTCTATGGTGGGAAAACATAACCTTCATTAAAACGATCTTAAATAAATGTTCGTCTATACAATCAAATGGTTAAAAAGTCTGTATTAAATGACGACTCGTAAATTATGTGTTTATGAAAAGTCGTTTCATTTTGAACATTATCATTCGTACATACAAATTTTTTTGTCCCATACAATCTCAAGATCGTACGTACGAATCCAATTTTGTACTGTACGATTGGAAATTTTTCTTTATAGTGAAGGGCCATTGAAATCATTTTCATTCACTTCCAAACCCTTCTCTAAACCCTCAAGATCTCTATCCTAGGAATGGCAAGCTCCAGCCAATGCTCTCAAGTTACTAAGGGATCGTCATCCAGGTGTGGGGATGACGACTTCTTGTCTAGAGATAATAAGGATGTATTATATAGGTATATAGCCGCCAGAATCACTCCTTATTAACTCCTCATCCAATATGAAATCCATTTTTCCTGTCATGCCGCTCTTTGCTTCAACTCAGTTCTATTTTATTCTAACCTTGATCATACACTTACCATAAAATTTTGTGTTCTTATGTTCCTTTATTTTTACTGTATTTTTATTTTTTGATATTTTAATTTATTGTAGTTGAAAAATATTCTAAAATTTTAAGAGAATTTTTAAATTATCAATTTACCATCCCTCTTGGTTAGCCTTTGGGACAATTCTATTAAGTCTAACAACCTACTCAAACTTTTAAGGGGTATTAGAGCATATTTTCAAAAATTAAGATTTAGATAACTTTTTTAAAAATGATCATGGCTTCTTTTGGAAACTATAACACTAATAAAGGATATTCAATCACTGGACCATTACTGTTCAATAACATTCCTTTCGTCTTTTAAAAATCTTGTATGTCTATTTTTCTTTAATAACTTGACTATCGCGTGTGGATTTTAGTACAAGAAGGCTACACTAGACCCACTAGACTTGTTGATAGCATTAGGATTAAACACCATTTACTAAATGGACAATATAAGAAAAAGAACTAGCTCAATTAAATATTAAATGTTTAAATAATTTTTTCTATGCCCTGAAATCTGAGAACTATATATGTGTTTCAACCTATAAAACTGGAAAAGAAACATGGGATAGACATTGCATAACGTATTAAGGAACTAATGAGGTGAAACAATCCAGATTGAACATTCTATTACACAACTACGAACATTTTTGCATGAAACTGAATGAATCAATCACTGTATGTTTACTCGTTTTACATAAATAGACACCTCATTGCATGCTTTAGGCAGGGAACTGACAAATTCTGAAAAAGTTAATAAAATTCTATATTTTTATCTACTATTTATGATGCAAAGATAACTGCCATAACTGAGTCAAAAGACATAATTGCTAACTTTATTGACAATATACTCGGATCACTAATTGCTTATGAGCAAGGAGTGACTCAAAGAAAGATTGATGCAAGTGACAAGCGAAAGGAGAAAAACATTGCGTTGAGAGTGGATGACACGAAAGGTGATCAATCACAACATATGGATGAAGAAGATATTACACTCATGACGAGGAAATTCAGAAGTTTTTAAAAAGAAAGAAAATGAGACATCGGTAGTGGAATAAGGGTAAGCTCCACAAAAATGCAAAAAGTTTTTAATGACGTAATTTGTTATGAATACACGAAGCCTTGACATATTAAATTTGATTGCCGGAATCGTAAAACTAATCCTAGAAAGGAGAAAGTTGAGGAGAAAACTAATTTTAGGAAGGGAAAGAAAAGAATGTAGAGAGCATTCTGGGAGGACTCACCTTCAAACTCCTCAGAAACAAAAGTAGAAGGGGAAGTCACAAACTTATGCTTAATGATAGACAAGCTTATTCAGTTGGATGAAGAGGATATGTGATTTATCTTAAGACGAGTTATTTAAACTTTCATAGAAAATCCATACTATATATAAAAAACATAAAAAATTACATGCAAAGCTGAACATATAATATTTAAATATACAACAAGAGCATGAAATCCTTAGGAACGATCACACATTTATTCTAATTTTTTTTTATTTAAGCGCCGGCGGTTAAGCCTACAGCAGCCAAGCCGATTGTGGTTGGCGTCAATCAATGCAGAGGCGTGGCTATGTTAGCCACGCCCGGGCAGCGTGAGCCGTAGCATTGGCGATGTGGGCCAGGATTACCGAAGCACAGGCCAGGCGGGCCGCAAGGCAAACAAGAGTGTGTATGGTAGCACGAGCCAAGTGGGCCGCGGTGCGGGCCAGGCGATAGAGGAGGCGGCCGGTGGCTAGTCTGCCCCAAGCCATTTTGGGCCTAATTTTGGCCCCGAAAAGGTCAAATAAAATGTTTTTGGGTCCTTGCCACCGCTTTTCGACATTCTGGGCTCAATTTTGATAATTTCAAAGCCGTTCAATACCTCTATGCCCAAGATCAAAACATTTTTTATTTTTAAATCGCACAAAAAATTCTTCTAAACCTGGGACACATATTTTTGGACTTCTAGTGTTTTGATGTTAGAAAATAGGAGGGCAACTGATACATCATTAAAAAATTATCTTGATAAAGCATGAATCTCAAGGCAAAATCAAGTTTGAATTCCAAAACTAAAATTAGGACCATCTGAACTTCAATTTCAGCAAACTAATTGTCTAACTGAACGTCTTAAAAATACAAACCCAACGAAGCCAAATCCGACTCAATTAGAGCCCAAATGGATCCGAATCAAGGATCCGATGAACTATTAGAAGGTATGAACCATATTTTGGAATACCAAACCGTTTCCAAATGTGACATGCCTATAGTCTAGTTAAGTGTCTCGATAACATGAATTGAACGAGCCTAGGATAACGGAATTCCGACATCATTAATACCTTCAAATGTCTAACGAAAGGTCCGTGATTAAGGGATTCAACATCAGCCATCCATCCAAACCACTCCTCGTTTGCCCTTGATCCTCCTCCTTTTTACAAGCCATGAAACTCTATGAAATATATAAATAGGTCATTCATCTTGAAAAGGGACCCTGAGCTAAAGGATTCAAGAGAGAGATTAAAGATTGATCTTTCATCCTTGCCTACTCGTCCACCGCCTGGAGTTCCGCTGGACCACCCCTTGATGCCCTAAGCTCTGTCGGACCACCACATGACATCCCAATCTATGTCGGACCACCGCTTGATGCCCTGAGCTCTACCGGACCACCACTTGATGTCTTAAGCTTCGTCGGACCACTGCTTGACGCCCTGAGCTCCGCCGGACCACCACCTGATGTCCTAAGCTCCATTGGACCACCGCTTGACTCCCTGAGCTCCAGCTGACCACAACATGAAGTCCTAAGCTATGCCGGACCACCACTTGATGCCCTGAGCTCCGCCAGACCACCACCGAATGTCCTAAGCTTCGTCGAACCACCTCTTGGCACCCTGAGCTCCGGTGGATCACCGCTTGTTGTCCTGAGCTATGTCGGACCACCACCTGATGTTCTGAGCTCTTCCAGATCATCGCTTGACACCTTAAGCTCTGCCAGACCACCACTTGACATCCTAAGCTCCACCAGACCACATCTTGATGCCTTAAACTCCGCCGGACTACCGCCTGGCATCTTATGCTTTGTCGGACCACCTCTTAGCACCCTGAGCTCCACCGGACCTCAACCTAATGTCCTAAGCTCCGCTGGACCACCGCTTGATGCCCGGAGCTCTACCAAACCATAACCTGACGTCCTAAGCTCCGTCAGACCACCGCATGGTGCCCTGAGTTCTGCTAGACTACCACCTAACACCTGAAGTTCTTTCAAGTCACCTACGAACACCAGGGTTGTATTAATTGACACACGAACTTTCAAGTGATGCTGAAATTCTAACAGATCTTTGGGTGACCCCGAAGTTCTGCAAGACCATCAAGTGACGTAAGACATTGAATTACCATTGATTTCAACCAAACAGTTGATATTTATAATCTAATCGCTCTCGGGTGCGAATCAACCCACTGTACCTTCTCAAATTTTAGTGGAATCCTTATCAACTAGGCCAAGCCCCGTGGTTTTTCTCCATTCTAGGTTTTTCCATGTAAAAATCTTAAGTTTTCTATGTGGAGCTGGATATCCATGCAACGCTAAGATGTAGGATTATAAGTATATTGCCACATATATTCTAGCCCACAACAAGTTCCATGCCTTCGATTTTGAAATTATTTTTGATTAATTGCTAAATATTTTAAAAACATAAACTCATCCACCTCTTGATTTGCCATATCCTTCAGACAAGTATGCACAAAATCCAAATCGGTAACATCATAGTAGAGCGTTTCATGCTGCAACCAAGATAATATAATATATAGATTATAAAGTTTAATACACTTATATCATATGTAAACAAAGTTTTTTCTGAAACATAAGAGCCAGATTTGACCGAAAGATATACATGGGAATACAAGGCTTACAATTCCTCCATATAAGCAACAACTACTAACTCGTAATATATTAATTGAAGCACTATAGACAAGGATACCACAAGAACACCAAACCTCCAATTTATTGTAATTGCTCGCTAGAGGCCGAGGCGAAGACCATCATTTGAGCTTTAAAATAGGGACAAGAAATTAGCTGTCTTTATTTTATTATGGATATTATATTTATCTTTCAAGTGTCTGAACATTTGATTTAGGGATGTTGCTCAAGTAATCATCTGGTTTTCAAACCTTTTGTACCCAAGTTGTTAGTCCTTCCACAAGAGCAGGCCCACTTTTGAGCTGGAGCAGATGCCTACACACAATTTTAAATTCAGATGAGGAATTGGAGCTTACAGAGGAGACAGCAGCGAGGGATTGCAATACATCGCCCATTCTACACTCCTTTTTAAACTCAAGAACCATGCTGGACATCTGATGTGTCTCCAACATAGACATTGGAATGCTCTGCCAAATCCAAGTTGAAAGAATTCAAATAAGCAATGTTGTTCTGACAACCGCATATGTGAGCAAGCTATGGCATGAACTACAAAAGGTACAAAGGTAGTTCTACTACACCTCTTATATATTCAAGAAATTTGCATAATTATTTTTGTTGTGCAAAAAAAATTTTAAGCATAGAATTAACATCTAATATGGCCACTGAGAATAAAAATAAATGTTTAATAAGAATTCATAAAGCTTAAATTAAGACAAGAAAGCATGATACACCTTTGTTGAAATGACAATATATGATGTGAAAATATCTCTAATGATGAGCCCATATTGGAAAGACAATCATAACAACGGATTAACAAAAGCGGAACGGTAACAAACTAACAACTAAAGAATAGGCATTAATAAGAGATAAATTAGATTCAATATTTCCATACATATTATTGCTCTTCTTGCCTTTTATTTATTATTTTCCAAAGAGAGCAAGAAGAGGGGTAAAATGTTAACAAATGTAAATGAAGCTAGTCATTTATTTTACCTCAAGAATCCACCGAATGTACTTGACATTGTTCACGAGCATATTAAAATCTAAATCAGCCCATTGAGGCTGTCAAACAAATTGAAGGTTATAAAACAATATAGGAGAGAATGTTAAGAGAGAAAAAATATATCAATAAATAAGAAATTAAAACCAAACATATATAGCCAATCTAAAACTTACAGTTAAGCCATCTATTATGTAATCTGCAGTCTCAAAATTAAGTTTAGGGAACTTTCTATTGTCCCCATTCAAAATAAAAGTAGTATCTTTGTAGTAGCGTTCTAATTCTACTTTTATTTCATCAGGTATCTTTGAAAGTTTGCGTGTGGCATCAGTGCAAAAATATTGAAGAAAACAGAATTAGCATAATTAGTTTAACAAGTGATATATTTGGTTTGGCTTGAAGGAGAAAGTTATGACATTCATGAACGGCTAACCTAGAAGCTCGAATCATACTTTGACCTGTTTTGAGATTGCATACATGCCAATCACGAGCCATACTCAATTTTTTATGACATCTCAACCATGTATCTACTTCAAGAGCATCACCCCTGCATTAAAAAAAGAGATTTTTTTTATATGAAGCAACTTTAATGTGTTAAGTTGTCTATCATAATGCAACATCATAACCTTTAGAAAGAAACATCTAGAATAGGTTCCTAGAGAAATGAAAGCCTACATGGTGAATTTCATTCCCAAGAGAATGACAATTTCTAAGGAGCATTCATAATGGTAATGCCTTGGTTTGTTTCAATAGGAAAATTAGAATTAAATTTTGGTTTACAAAACAGATGACATGTCAAGTAAAATAGCTTTACAATAAATTACAAAAAGTATAAGAATCATAAAAAGCATAGAAAGGACTTACCATGAAGGATAATGTTCCACCTGAATATGCATTTTAAGTATGATTAATGCGAGTTTTTCGCTACCTATCTTTGGGTATGAACGAACAGAATCATCCAAAAACCCAAGAATTTTGAAATGGTTAACACTTGTTTCCTGTAAGGGCAAAGTAGAGTCAGAACTCGAAAATAAGAAAATTAATTAATGAAAATTTAGGCTATAGGAGTTTTAGACCTGTAAAAGGTTCATTATTGTCTCAAGGGAAGCTTTTCCGGTAGCATCAATCTCATATAATTTGACAAAGTTTCTCTGCACGTAAATTTTATCAATTACCTGTTCATGATTAAATGAAGCAGCGAACAGTTCAGATCTCCTAGGCTTCCAATCCAGTACGTTTCTTTGTTTCCCTATTGTTACTTTTATATTCATTAGAGTCGCAAGGAGCCACCTCCAATAGGTAAAGTTGAGAACATCCTTTTGTGATTCTGAAGGTGCATCCTCCTCAATTTTTGCTAACTCACTCTTAAAGCTAAAAGTAACAGTATTGGCCTTTTTGACATATCCTTTGATTTGAAAAGCCTTAGCATAACCTGCAAATTTAGCTTTCTCTCCACTGGTAAAAGCAAATGAAACATCAAACGAACCCATCCAAGAGGTTGAAATTGGTTGTGAGGATGATAGAATTGAGAAGATGGTTGAGAAAGCAATTGAAGCAGTCATGATTGTGCTACTTTCACACCTCAAAGAAGCTATAACCAGGTGTTAGTATAGTAATGAATTATATATGAGCTAAATTAATAGAATGCAAGAAATTTCAAAAAACAGTTTCAGTGTAAGATATAAACTATGTTCCATTCTAATAAAATTATGAGGTTTAAAAACAACTTTATATCTCAAGTAGGTCATGTCTATCAATTAAAGTGTTTATCTCTAAAAACAAATTGTAGATTCTTATACTTGTCCATAATATTATAAATTTAATTCATCCGAGGGCTCACCTAGTTGGTTGTATAAGAAAAATAGGATTTAGAAAGTGATGATCTTGCTTTCGCTCAGTTTGAATGTGAAATAACGATCCACGCTTATAAGAAATTTTAAAAGGGTTGTGGAGTTTAAACTCCATATTAGTTGTAATTGTATCCTCTCAAATGATGGAATCTAAAAAACTTATCATTTTTCGAAATAAGAATTCTCGCTTATAAAAAATTTTGAATGATTTGTTGAGTTTAAAGTTCATATTAATTTTAGTTGAATGCACTCAATAATGGAATCTGATAAACTTATCATTTTTTGAAATGGCAGTTAAAGAGCCCTTAATAATAATAAAAAACCTCATTGAAATTTATATAAACATTAAACTGAAACATAAAAAGCCCTTTCATAATAGAGTAAACGCAATGAATTGCAAAAGCAATAAAGCAAGCCAAGGTAGTCGAGAAGGTAAATTGCCTTAACTAAACTATTAGGCTCCAAAAAAGAACCATCTAACAATTAGTTCAAGTAAATGGGCTAAAGATGAAAAACAAATCAACTGACTACTTTTACATGATCATTATAATCAGGAGGGGACCGTTACCCCAAAGTATAGAGCATGTGCAACAAATTCAAGAAGATCGATAACTACATGCTTGATTATGCGAACTTTTAGGCTAAACATTTCATTAACAAAATACAATTAATACAATTAATTGTTAATATTTATTAACAATTCATAAATAACAATTTTCATAGATTTAATATAACAAGAAGTTTTGTTATGATAAACCTATCATTTTTTAAGTTATCTGTGTTCTTCTGAGATTGATTTAATAATATTTATCTCCGCAATCCAAAATCAACCAAATGAAAACTATCAAATTTATGACAAAAGTAAAAAACTATTATAGACCGGTAGTTCTCAAAAAGTTATGCAGTGTCCAACACATATCAGACATGACATGTGTCTGACATGCCTCCGACATGTATTGGAAGTCTAACGTTGTCATGAAATTGATGCTTGATGGAAGCAAAAATAAAAAATTATAGTACTGTTTCAAACCCATATCCATGGTCTATGATTTTAATAATTCACGTGTCTATGTTGTCAATGATCAGATAGTAAATTATTACATGAAGGAATCAATATCAATAAAATCTCTAAGCCAAGCGTAGTATCTCTCTTGTTTATGTTTCATTTTTACTAACTCTTTTCCACAATCTCAACAAAACTTGAAATTGTTAATATTTGATCAACCAGCCTATAACTAGACTTGTATCGGTATAAAATTTAGTCGAATAACTTGGAGCTAATCTCATACATCCCAAGCAATCCGCGTAGCTTTGGCTAATCAGTGGTTATCGCCTCCACAGAAGTTAGAAGTGAGATATGCTTGATGAATAGTCTTAAATATTAAGTTTCATTCAATTAAAGGCTAATCTCGAACATTATATACGGAGAAATCCCCATATTACCACAAAATCTGAGCTTTTTCAATTGAATGAATAGCTGTAAACAACGATAAGAACTAATCAATCCAAGAAAACAGCGCAGAATATAAATTGCCGATGACGAAAAAACCATTCTCGAAAAGAACGTTTGCCGAAAAAGAAGAAGGATGTAATGGAGGACGCTGGTTTGTATTGGACTCTTACTAGATCTTGCCCTTTATCAAATGCCGGCTTTCTTCAAACGTAGAGAGAGAGAGAGAGAGGAGCGCGCGATGACAGAAGCCGCGGTTTAGACATATTTATAGACGCCTTGAGAAGTTTATAAATTTGAGTGGCAGATTCGTTAATTGTTAATTGAGTGAATTATTTGATATTTTAAAAGAAAAAACAAGGTTAACGCCCATCTTATACCCATGAAATATTTTTAAGGTAATAAACTCATAAATTTAAGTGACCAACAATTAAATTACTAAAAATAAAAGTAAAATTTATACATTAGAATTTTATTGTGTGGCTTCTGTGTATTTGTATATATTTCCCACTATTTAAAAGGTATTTGTTGGAAACAATATGGGAGTTGAACCCCATAGGCCTTGAGAATGAAGACTTGCCTAAGGGAAATCATCAAGAGTTCACATGAGTACTTAGATTAACATGACTTGCCCCTTTTGTGAGAATACATAACAAAAAAAAAAAAAAAAGGATTTAAGGTAGTGATTTATAGCAACAGTTTCTAAACCACTTAAGTAGAGTTTTTTAGGCACCGATTTTAAGTGGGGCTTGAAATCGAAGTAATAACAAAAATCCCTAAGTGAAATGAGAAAGAGTGAGGTTGGAGAAGATGAGTTAATTGAGAGGAGAAGTGGGATTGTTATTGTTTTTTAAATATTATTTTTTTGTACTAAAAACATATAATGAATATCTATGTTAGTGCTTCCTTTTTATTAATTAGATTTTGTTTTCATGCATACATGGCATGAAGATTAATATGAGAGGGATATATTCATAAATGTAGTTATATTTTCTCCCTTACTCTTGATCTGTAGGAAAAAAAAGGGAAATAGATTAGGAATTTCTAATACAAAATTAGTAATTAATGTAAATTATTCCTTAAATCTAAATAATTAGATAAATAAATTTCTTGTGTATTTATAAGTAAAAACTATATTCTTTTTGTTTTATTATTATCTAGTAATTTATCTAGAACTTGTTATTTTTAACTTAATACACACTAAGCTCAAAGAAGTGAATTTGTAAATAATGCTAGAAATAAAAAAATCATAGAGACAAAATGTGAAACTAGTATATACCTTAAAACTACTATATCTAGTTTTATAAAAAATAACAAGTTTATGTGCTGATATATATAATATGCCCCACAAATGAATGAAATTCTCTTGAGCATATTAAATAAAAAATGAAAGTTTATGCATAAGTTTTCCTAGCTAGAAGTTTGCAAATACACCTTAAAGTAGCATGCATTTTGCGCTAATTACGAACTATAATTAATTTATTATACTTCTTTGTTTGATAGAAATTGTACTCCATCTATATGCCTAATAACTCTTTATTTTAACAAGTAATTACAAAGTCAATTTTTCCCTAGATATGAACAAGGGCTTGATTACAAAAGCTAAATGGAGTTGTAATTACATTTATGGTGTTCATAAGCTTCTTGACTTTGCAAGTCCAACTCATAATTTACCTAGAAAGATTTTATGTCCATACAAATCATGAATTAATATATACTTCTATTCACTGAAGGAAGTCAAAGATCACTTAATTTGTAAAGTATTTTTTTGTGGGATATGTTGCATGGAATCGACATGGGCAACAATATTATAATTTAAGCGACATTGCAATAAATGAGTCTTTTCTTGTTTTATTCATTTTAGATATTGAAATATTTCATAATGAGAATTTAATTACAAATGATATAGAAGGATTTTTAAGGCACACATTTTGTCCACACATACTAGATGAGCAGATTGAGGTGAATGCAAATCAACAGAATTATAATAGTGAAAATTTGAAAAATTAATATAGGATGTTGAAACAAAGTTGTACACTGGGTGTAAGGCATTCTCAAAACCATCTTTCATTATGCACTTATTCCATTTTTAGTTTTTACATTCATGGACTGCAAGATTTTTTGACCTATTAGAAGAGTTAATGATTGATGCTTTCGAAAAGGAGTGTTGTTGCCTAATAATACATATGAAGTGAAAAAGATAATGAAAGCATTTGATAATGGATATACAAAGATTGATGCATGCCCTAATGATTGTATGTTTTATTGGTAAGGAAAATCTAATCATGATGTTTGTGACATTTGTGGAGCATCATCATGGTTAAATTCTAAGAAGAGAAGTATTGTTGGTGAGAAAAATCATATGAAGTCAACTAAAATTATTCAATATTTTCCATTAATTCATAGACTTCAAAGACTTTAAAATAAAGAAATCTACTAAAGAGATAATTTGGAATGCATCGCAGAAATAAAGATGGCTTACGATGCCATCCTGCTAATGGAGAAGCATGAAAATCTTTTGATGTGCGATACCCTTATTTTGCAGATGATCCACATAATGTTCAACTTGCTTTATCAATGAATGGTTTTAATCCTCCTAATATTATGAAAAGTACATATAGTATTTGATATGTACTTCTAGTTCTATATAACTTTCTACCTTGGATGGGAATGAATCAAAATTCTTTTATTCTATGAACTATTATACCATGAGAGAAAGGTCCAGGAAATGCTATTGACATATATCTTCAACCAATAATTCAAGAGTTACTTTAATTATGAAATGGAGTTGAACGCTATGACACCGAAACTAAATAAACTTTTAATATGCGTGCTACATTAATGTGGACTATAAATGATTTTCCTGCATATGACATAATATATGGTCAGAGCACTAAAGGGAGATAAGCTTGTCCTTGTTGTACAGAAGATAAAGAATCTTTATGTCTATATAAGGGAATGAAATTTACATATATGGGTCATCGACGTTGGCTGTTTGAGGATCATACTTTTCACATCAAATAAAACATTTTGATTACATAGAAAAGTTTGAAAGGTGCCTCAAAGGAAAGGAGGAATTGAGATTTAGAGAGTTAGGGGTTGATTTTCTTTTTCTTGAGAGAGAGAGAGAGAGAGAGAGAGAGAGAGAGAGAGAGAGAGAACTTTGAGGCTACTTTGGTTGGGTTGCATGTTATTTTTCTTCTGAATTAGAAAGGGATACTATGTTTTGATGTTAACTTAGGCTGAATAATTAAAACTTACCACTTATGGGAGGTAACCCACTTCTGATGATATGTATAGTGCCTTATGCACAAATTATCTTGTATCTTCTCTTATGTTCATCTTATGTTATCATATGTTTTATGCCCCTTTTATTCTTCATATGAAAGTATGTGTAGTGTTAATTGTTGAATATATTTTTATTTACATCTTACTAAAATTCCCCTAATGTTTGTTATTATTTTAATTATTTATTATATTCTGATTATTTAATTAATAATGGTAAAAATGAAAACTAAGAATTATATAAAATTTGGCTAATAATAGAATACTAAATTATAATTCAAATTAACACTATTTATAGTTCATAGAGTGGAAAAATAATTAATAATTAACTAACACAGATCATTTAAGTTATTATTTTAATTTAAAATTATAAATTATACCCATATGCATTAGTTTTTGAACTAAAGATAAATAATTAGAATTAGAGATTAGATATAAGTAGATTAAATTTAACAATCATATGCAACCTCAATTTGGAATTAATAATCTTATTAAATCATTACATAAAATTCATTCATATTTTAAAAGGGTATGAACCAACGACATTCAATATCATTAATTATGCACTCCATAAAATAAAAAGAAAAGAATTGTTAAAATAGATCCAAAAGAATGAAAGAAAATAAATAGAAGAAAAAAGAAATGATGAGTACATTCAAAAACTGTTATTAGTTAAAAGCTTAGAATCTGATTATAGTTTTATACTTAAATTTATAAAGGATAAAATAAAAAAACTAGTACAAATGATGGTGAACTATTAAAGTTTCAATTTTACTACTAACATATCTAATCATTAAGCAACATTATTCACTTTAAGAATTAAAAGTTAATAAATAAATTTATATCCTATAAATTCAAATTTAGCAATAATAAGGATGTCTAATAAGTGTAATTATTAATCTTTTTCAAAACTAGAATTATATCCTTATTCATTTTACAACTTCTAGGCCATTATGTGTTATCCTATATTTTAGTCATTTTAAATTATAAGGTTTTACATTAGTTAATCATTTTATCAAAGTTGCAAAAAATTATTTGCTTCATTATAAACAAGAGTTAAAGGTAGAAAGAATTTGATAAGTCTAAGTAATGTATTATTTTGTGTTATATTGCAGTAAAAATGTATTCTTTAGTTGTTTTGTTCAGTAAATGTACAAAAATGGCACAAAATTATAAGTATCATCCAACGCCATGGCGTTAGAAAAATTAACACCGCAGTGTTGCATATCTGATTTTTAGAAATAGAATTTTGATGATAGCAAACACTTCTGTTTTACTACGACTGCTTTGACAACTAATATTTTAGGTCCACAGGATCGAGACTATAATTTTAATTAGCTCAAGATTATGTATACTAAGTCTAAGTCTATTTGTAAACCTTTTCTTTCTTGAGTCTATTTATAATAAATGTGATTCCTGATGCTAAGTAACCTTGCACACACACACTCGGGGGAATTTTTTTGTCTAAACTTAGAGTTCTTTGTTATGACAGGACGATCTCTATATCGTCCTAGATGATCGATTAAAAATAGAAACCCTAATTAGGGCTCCTTGTTAAGGCAGCCGTCATTAAGCTCATCGGCCTGGATAATATTTGTATCATCCAGGATGATATGCTCAAATCAGAAAGAATCAGCCGTCGGATCAAATAAGGCATAAAATATTTTTGGACATCATCTTAGATGATGTGCTGGACTATGCAATACAATTATGTTTAAATTAATTTGGTAATTAAGGAAAACAATTAAGGCTTGATGATATGATCACATCATCCTGGACGATCGCAAGATCATCCAGGAGGATCAGTTCAAAAACCTTAGTTGCTCCTGGATGATCACACATCAGACAGTGTCTATTCAGCGTGGTGTTCTCAGATTTGAACTAATAGTCCAGGAAATTTGCAATATCGGCCTAGACGATCAAGCTATTTTTCAATTGTCCATAACTTATAACTAGAGCGATGGTC